TTTCATCAAGTAGCTTCCATATAGAATATTTAAGACTATTCCATACTAGCAAATTGGTCTTTGATCCTGTTTATTACTGCTCTCTGTTCTTTACATGAAGAGGCATTGGTTTATATCTGTCCCTTGTGTCATTCCACAGAAATACACTTGTTACTGACCRGATATTCTAAATAAGACTAGAATCTGAGAGAAGCTATGCAATACATGGAAAATATGTATCTCTCTCTCTCTMTMTATATATATATATGTATGTATATGCACAGACATATCATATATATGCACACACCCCCCTACATATATATATATATCTCAATTTAATTTATTTTTCTACATAATTGTCAGTGTTTCCTTTTCATTCATGAAATATTATGGGCTCCCTCTGGTGGGCCAAAGTAATACCTTTATGTTTTAGAGCTATCAAGGTTGTCAGAAGTCCTGTCTAGTTGAGTGTTTAGTCTAATGGAAAAAAAAAGAAAAAAAGAACCACATACAAAAAATGTGTTTTTCTCTGTGGATAACATTTGGACTTTTAATCCTCATACTTGTAAATTTACTTAAAATTTATGCTTCTGCCTCATGCACATTGTGTTTTTCCAAYGCTTAATTCTCATCACTTAAGTGTAATTTACTTTAAAATATTTGAATGAATTATAGTTAGGCACCCTGCACTGAAAGTGAAGGCATTTCATGAACACAGTAATTCTAACCATGGGTAACACTAAATCCCTAAACTAAAATCATACTACTACAAATGTGATTAATGACTGAAAGAACAAATAAATACACACTTTCACAACAACATGATATAACCTAATTATTCTCAAAAACTTGCCGTGTCTATACCTCATAAGATGAATTGTTTGTTCCAAATCAGTGCTGTATCCTGGTTGTTAGCTCTTTTTCACTAAAGATATTTTTCTGCTCCTTTCTACAGTTTCTGTGGAATTATGGTGATCTCATCTCTGTCAGTTGAATATTAAGCTTTCTTCATTCTTTCCTCCCTAATATGCCATTTCCTTAATGTGTCTATTTTTCCTAACTGATACAATTATAATTTGATTCATTCTTAGAACCTTCCTAAAATAGATCCAAAATTTGTAGCAGATCTTAACTATTTTACAGGTACAAGAAATCCAAGTCATAAGGGAAAAGGTTTAGCTAAACAGAAATGAGAGCTAAAGGAGCGAATGTATCAGAATAGGCTGAGTGACTGCAATGATGCCTTTTCTTATGATATCTTGATTATATCAGACCCATGTGTGATTTTGAAGTGAATAAGTAGTATCTTACTTAGAGTGGCCACTTCTATGGCTAACTCTTTTTTGCCAGAATACCTATCCTGGGAAAATATTTGGCAGATTATATTTTCATCTGATCTCTGCAGCTTTGTTTCATCTCTTCCATATATGATGCAGTCTTCTGGATTATTGCTCTGTTTTAATTACCTCTTCTGCACACATGAAAAACTATGGATATTTTTTTTTTCTATCAGATAAGAGATCAAGGAAAAATAATAAAAAAGTTGTACTGAATTGATAAAAAAGTGAATTATACCTCTATGTTAAACTATGATGTTAGAGGCTAGTTTCCTATGACTTAATCCTAAAATAAATCATCTCTAAACAGTGCTGGAAAATGTATCAGAATTCCAGTGCAGACAATGAGCAGGAACAATTTTTGGCAGTCAGTGACCTTCAAAAAGGGATGAGAAAAGTGAGGAAAGAAGAGACAAGGGCAAAACTTTTAATTTTGTCGCCTCCTGTATAAAGACCTGCCTGTGAGGTGTCGCTAAGCCCAGAGTGTCAMTGTGATCAGGTGTGTGGTTTTGCTGATCTGAGCATAAACCGCTAAAGCTTGGCAAGATGAATCACAGCTGACACAGAGCTGACCCCAAATGCATTTCAGAAGCTGATGAAGAAGAGCAGAGCCTTCCACTGAACTGTTGTCTCTTACGAAAACAGGAGCGTTTCAAATCCATATTCTGAACAGCCATTTCGTTGTCAATAAGTGCTGCAAAGAGCAGTAACCTCTGCACGCACAGAGAGATGGGGAAACTTTTAATGAACAGGAGTGGGTAGAACAGGCTCTTCTTTTCTCTTACTAGAGGCAATGAATGGCTCCGGTACTTCTCCTTGCAGCTTACCAAATTTTTCTGAAGTTCTAATTAGTGAATGGAGAACACAAACGGTATTCTCCACTGTTTCAAATACAGAAAATGCCTGGAATGAGGGAAAATATCCAGAATTCTGAAAGTACTTTTCATTTTTGTATGATCCTGTATTTGCATAACAAAGTATCAGTATATAGAGAGAAACGTGAAGATTACTTCATACATTTAGTTATACTGATTAATGCTCTGATGCTCAAGTTCTAATGTTTTTGTACTTATAGTGTACAAACTGTTCAGCTTGCCACATGAATGTTATGATGATGATTATTATTATGTTTAGTTTGGAAGGAAATAAATAAGACATAATCTAAGAAGCTTGTAGTTAAAACTAGGAATATAGAGAGATACCTACTATTCCTGTTATTTTTATACTGTTGTTTTGGCATGTTCAGGTTCCTGGATGCAGAAAGGGCCCAAATTTGGGCAGAGACAGATACAATTATTGAAAAAAATCAGGTTCCCTCAGATTCTCAGCCTCAAGTAAATTGGTCCGTCTGCCCATTTAGTAAAAGCATTGTGGCATTCCAGGTTTTCCAAGTGTTTGGCAGCTTCCTGCAATGCCAGCTAATTTGGAGAAGGATGTGGGAAAAAAACCTTTTTTTTTTTTTTTTTTTGTCCAGTTTCACTCCTGATTTGAGGATTTTAAGCCACATGTTTGTTGTGACTGTTTAGCTGTTTATCTTCAAATGTCTGTTTTCATAACTGACCAAGTGAAATGAAAATGAATATGCAGTAACCACTTAGTATTTTGCTTTTTTTTTTTTTCCTGTCATTAATAAAGCACATTCAAATTTGGTAAGTGAACTAATATAAGATATTCTTTGAGTCTAAATAATTTATTCACTTTGTAAATTCTGGCTGGGGTCCACGTTGTGCTTGTAGCTTTCAACATGTCTGTTATTTGCTTCCAGAAGCAATCTGCTCCATTTTTCTTGTTTCTTTCCTTTCCGAAAGATACCATGAATCACATTGCTGCATGACAAGTTCCCAGTCCTGTGCTAGAGTGCTGACTTCCAACCTTTTCCAATCACTTATTTTAAATAACAAGAAAGAAAAAAAATGGGGGGGGGCTGGCCTCACTTCCAGCTTTAATGAAAGGCAGGGTGAGATTTGATTTCCAAGGTGAGAGCCCATGACCCTGTAAGTTAACTGGAATTAACCTGAGAGCAGAGGCTAAGCTCAGCCCCGAAGCGCTGTGCCGCGAGCTGGAGGCAGCAGCACTGCCAGTGGGAGCCTCCAGATGAGAACCGCCTACACAGCCTTAAATTGCCTTTCGCATTTTGCAAAAGTCTCCTTTTCTCCTATCTGTGCCAACGTTCTTCTGCACACTTCTTCCAACACAAGCCGGGAGTGAGTGTTGATTTGAAGACACGAGTTTCCCAGGGGAAGCCACAGGACTAGCAGGTGTTTGTCCAGGCTGAAACTGCAGGTTTACTTTGGACTGTTAAATCATGTCATTTCCATGTTTTCTTTCCTGCTACAAGGCTGTGGCCTTGGTCAGCCTGAAATATGATACAGTTTCCCATTATTTCAATGTTATTTTTTTTTTCCTCTTTGCTCCCTTCCTTCAAAAAAATGCAGCCCTGTGGCAGGTAAATTTGAAAGGGCCAAATTTGTGCCACTTCAAACATCAGTGAGCAAAAAGTTGAAACCTTTAAAAGCAGAACTGAATGTGTTCTGAAACCTTTTGTTCTGAAACATATTTCTGTCTTCTCTTTTCTGACTGACTTTGTTTGATTTTATTATTTACTGCGTTTTGCTGCTGCCTGAAGGATGGAAAAATAGACTCATTTACTAAACATTATTTCCATGTTTTTAACTGTTGTGGAAATTAATTAAGAGATGTTGATGTAAAAGTTTTCCCACCTCCCCCACCCCTCAGTTTCTCAAATATTTAAACAATTTTTTTGGCCATCTCTTTCTTATTTCTCTTTTCTCTCTGTTTGTAATAAGATTAATTATGTGTGGTGCACCACTGCTTATCCCCATGAAAGAAAATCTAAAACGAGGGATTTCAGCTTCAAGAAGGCTATTTTGTCCTGTTTCCGATGTTCTAAAGGGATTAATTTACCATATCGTATAGCCCTGGAAGACTGTGATAATTGAAAACATCCATATTCATTGCATGTTCAAAGGGATCTGTCTGACTTTGTAATGTAAAAAGTGCATTTTTAACCTGAACGGGGACCTGCATCTGGTATTGCTTAATCCTATTAGTCCGACAGTTCCAAAGCTTTAGTGTATAATCATTAGCTCGTGTTAATCCTCAGACATGCCTCCAGCTTCAGCCTGTCAGAAGGAGTCCCTGCAGGGAAAATGTGGAGGTGCTGATAGCACAACACCAACTAATCTTATCTTAAATGCTAGCAGCAGCCACTATCTGTGATAGCCAGGGAATTAAAAACAAATTTTTTATGGGTATTGGGTATCGCCTTGCCTTCTCTCTCACATGGCTCCTCTACCTTGCCCTAGTTTCTCCCCCCATCCTGGTCTTTGTCAGGCAAGCCGCAATACTGATGGCAGCCAGGCAAGTGGCAGTGGGGGACGAGAAGGCTATTTGAAGATATTTACTATGTTGTCATAAAAATAGCAGTGTAAGCTACTAAACCTCTCAGGTGCCTTGCAGTCTTTTCTATAGAGGAGTCTCGAGCCTATCTCACATAGGCATATAATTTATTTCCAATTTCCCACCAGCTGCAGCGTCRCAGAGCTAGAGCAACCATGATCTCTGGAAAAAGAGCTGTAATCTGAAAAAATACAACTCTCCTGGCTGCCCTGCCGGCCTTGGCTGCCTGTTCAGTGCTATGAGCAGGAGCCAACTCTGCTTAGAGGAAAAAGAGGATGTGGGGGCACAAACACCGGAGTTGGTGGTAAGTCCAGAAGAGCTGGATGTGATCTCCTTTCCTGTGCCACAGAGCAAAGGAGAGGCTGCACCCAGAGCCCTCCATGCCCTCAGCTAGCAGCAAAAGCAGTAAAAGCCAAGAGTGTTTTCCGTTTATTTCAGCAAGCAGAGGTCTCTGTTCTGCAGAAGTGTCACTCTCACTAGTGCTCATGTGAGGAGATGAAGGGACAACATCCCTTCAGGGTAAGGCCATACCCTCATTTGCCCTTTTTTCTTTGTAAACCTAGCAGGAAGGGGGAATGTTTACAGGCCTCACCCTCCTCTTTGCACATCTTCCACTGACATGATGTGTTGACAGGAGGATGTGCAGAAGGGGAAGCAGACATCATTACAAGTGTARTGCTCTTATTAGTTAAGGCACAGATGCACACAATGTTAGTGAGACTTCTGAGTTGCCAGTGGCTTGTAACAGCAAGATCAGGAGGCCCAGTTCAGGCAGTAAATCTATGTGTGCACCAGGTTTTCCTTCAGCACCTCCTGCGGGGCTTGGGTCCGTGAAGCATGCCCATGTCTGAGTACAGTGCAGACAGGACCTCACAGTCAGTCATCCACATGAACATGCTCCAGAGTAGCCCCATGAGCTTTTTCATAGTTCTTTCCTCCCATTAACTTGAATGACATCTTTTATGCAGATCCACTCTCAGGAGTCTGGCAAACTTATTTTAATAAAACTCCTTTTTTTTTTTTCCTCCCCCAATCTAAGCCCATGTAGCTCTAATTAAAACTAAGAAGCTTTGCTAAATGAAGACCTTCAGAAAAGAACAATCTGGTTTTTGTTCATTCTAGCTCTTAGGGTTGCATCTGCACTATCTCTTCTGGAAGGATTTGGAGCTCTTTTCACAAAAGGCTCTCAATGCTGCTTACTGGCAACACAGCTAGAGCTCTTAACCGCCTTCGGTGACTGATGAGCATTTTGGTTGCTGTGAGGCTCAGCAAGGATCCCCGTAAGGTAAGTATTCTGTGGACGAGTAACTGATTTTGCTGAACTTTGCTGGTTTGCTTCCAGGCTTGTGAAATGAAAGGCAAATTTTTTATTGACAGGTTAGACAGGGAGTGGAGTTCAGCTGTGCGGCTTACCTTCTTAGCACAGCAGCTTTTGCCTCTTTGCTAGAGTCATGGTGTAATAGTCATCTTATTGGGCACAGCTTACAGGATTTGACTCAACCATTCCGTTAAAAAAGAATAATAAATCTCTTCATTTTTGTGGTGCCTTTAGTATTAGGATCTTCAAGTACTTAAAAATATTAATAAGCTTTGCTACTCCTGTCCTTGAAAGATGGGGAAATCAAAGCACAATAGAGCCAAGTGATTTCCACAGGGTCATTCAGCACATGAAGAAGGGCATGCTAGTCAGGATCTTGATTTTTTTGTCTTATTCTTTTCCGAACAGAACCATTACACTTAATATAAGTCTTTTTTTTTATAAGCATTGATAGTAAATGCTTGTCATTAAGTTCTGCTACTCTTTCTAATATAGTCTCCATATATTGCAGGATATAAGAAATTCAAAAGGAGAAAAATAGTTGTCAGTTCTTGTAAAACTCATATTATCTGCAGGTGGTACCAAATCAAATTTGTACAACTGATMTTAAGTCTAGAAAACTGTAACTACACTTGTAACTCTTTGCCCTTAATCACAGAATGGGTTTCATGTAAGTTTATTTTAATTGTAATAATATGGAATATTTGAAATGTAGTAGTAGTAGCACTAAGAACACAAAGTATTGAATGCATGGGTGGGAAGAATGTATCTGATGTCTAACTAACTGTACAGCAGGACTAAAGAGATGCTCTTGATGTTCTCTGGTCTTTGCTTTGTCTTCCACAAATTATAAGGTCTGTGRCAGCGTCTAATAAAATAATTTGAAGACTGCTTGGGAAAGAGAAGGAAAAGCAAACACACTGCTGCTAATAAGAGGTGATGTCACTTGTTTGAAACTCATAATAAAAACTTTTCTGCCTGTTGGATTTTCAGAAAATCATTTCAAGTGACATTAAATGCTGATTTTCCCCAAATATATATAAGAAAAAAATCAAGAGATTTTTTCTGCAAACTAGATTGATATCCTTGCAGGAACAAATTGATTCACGTGAAGAAAAAGCTTACATTCTCGATAAAAACACAATTAAACAAATTGTTAGMCTGTATAAGCCAGCATAAGTTCTCTGTCACAATGGAGCTTGACTGGAAATGCCTCCCCCATGTTGGGGACCATTTTGATTTTGCCAGAGTTGACTTCTTAAGAGCACATTTCAAGTGTAAATCTTCATTCAATTTAAAAGCCTTTTTTTTTTCCCCTTCCTTGAAGCAAAACAGCTTTCCTCTCAAAACAGAAATATCCTCATCATCTATGTAACACACATACCCAAGGCAAAGCATGTTTTCCAYGAACAAAAAAATGAGTGGATGGTATTAAAAAGTTACAAACCAGACTCTAAGTCTAAGAAGATAAGCCTATAAGACAATAAGATAAGTCAGATAATTAAATAGGTCTGTAACAATGAAAGTCATTTCTTGTGATTCAGATTAATTTCTCCAGAAGGCTTTTTCATATTTTCTAGATCGAGGAAGATGAAAGAGTATCATTAYCTCATGACAATTTTTGGACAATGCATAATCTTAATTCATCAGTCTAAAAGTTTTAGATTAACTAAGCTCCTAATTTCTAAATTTATTGTCATTGTTACAATTGTTTAAAATAGAACTAGCAAACAAAAACCATCTTGATCTCATTTTTGGGTTTTTTTTTTTTTTTTTTTTTTTTTTTTTTTGCCGATCTACCTGTGTAGAGGTAGACTAAGTAAGATTTCAAACTCTGGATATATCTGATTTATATTTTCTCCAATAAATAGAATTAGGCCCTAAATAGCAGCACCTTTGGTAGATTTTTGTTTGTTTGTTTTTTGGTCATTTTGGTCTACCTTTTCTTAGCCTGATTTTCCACACCCTTTGTCCCAAATACTTTATGACAGTGGTTGGAGGAGCTGCTGTGWGTGAGGTGAAAGAGCAGTGTCACTTGTAGGTATTGCTTCATATTTTGAAAGTGGTGAGGAAGCTAAGAGGTGAAAGTTCCCTAAAGCTTTTTAGCAAATACAAATTCTGGCTGTTACTAAAAAAAACATCTTGAACACTCATCTATGTAGTTACCATCTTGGTATTTCAACTATGAAGAAAAATAATAGCTATAATGTGGGAAGAGCTTATAGGAAGATTATCTTTTTTCTTTTTTTTTTTTTTTTTTTTAAATCTTCCATTTTCTTGTTCTCTGACTTGTCTGCATTCCCTTTCTTACAATATGTCCAATGTAAATACCCATTTTTTCTTGTAAATGTGACATCACCTATGACTCTACACTCATGGCCTTTTTTCTAATAATCCCCCATGGGAGTAAGATTGGTTCTGTACATAGTTTGCCCTGTAGCCCACTAGCTCCAGCTTGTGTTGCTTGTTAATTAGAAAAAAATGTTTGTTCAGTGGGATTCATAGCTATATCCCTCAAAATATTTTGGGACGAGTCTTCCCATCTGTAGAACCAACATTTCCCAGTAGCAGGACAGGAGGAATTGCTCTAGTTTGGTAATTGATGGTGTTAGAGGTGTTGCATGTTTTTAAGGCTGCTTATTGCAGCAATTAAAGTTGGAGGAAAGATGAAAAGGAAACATGGAAAATATTGCTTCCAACATGCATTCACCCATGCTTTAGTTTGTAAGGACTTTTAGTTTGTAAGGACTGTTTATTATGGACAACTATTCCAAACTAGGGTTAGCTCTTTTGTGACTGTACTTCTTTTTTTTCATTTTAATTGCCATTAAAAAATATCTGTGTTATTTGAAGCATTAAGAATAACTGAAAGAGCAAGGGGTTAGCTCTCAGGTTTTTAGAAACAGAGCTAAAAAAAGCTTTTAAGATCTTGATGAAGCTTGACATGCCCTTGGTGATAGCACAGTTGCCATTCCTCCCTTCCACCACTCCTCCAGCAGTGCACAGAAATCCTGGTCCCCATTTAAATCAACAGGAGTTTTGCCACTCTGATGGAGCCAGAATTTCACCCTGCAATTTGAAATACTCTCTGCAGATGACAGGCAAGTAAAATGATTGCTTCACTGTTCTCACTGCCTCTGTGCCATAAACTGTGCAAAGATTATCATCGGTGAAGTGCAGTACAGACCTTCCCTCCCTCATCCCTTCTCAGCCATCTTTCATTCTCCTCTCCCCTTTCTTTTTCCCTACAGTTCTGTTTTTTACTCTTCATTGCTTTTCTCTGCCATTCACTACCAGGAAGAGAAGCCCCTACATGGCCAATTCATCAGTCTTTGGCACTGGTCAAGACTACTATTTTTGCTTACAAGAGTGAGACTGCTTTATAAATCAAGGGGCAGTTTGAAATGAGAGAGGTTTATAAATACAATAAAGTGTCTCATAATTATTCAGAAGGTTTGAAATTTATCCGCTCTCAGTAGGGGGTTCTCTCATTAGCCACTCCACATGACTACACCACTCATGAGTGAAAAGGTCACCCCCTATATCATGAATATAAATTGCAGGCTTTTTAATATAGTTATGACATCTACCATACAGAGAGCACGATGTGAGAGATGGGTACATATCTCCTAAAAACTGTAATGCCCAGTTGTGAAGTATTAGAAATGCCTGATTTGATTTGTGCCCATATTAGGAAAAAGCATATGCTCTGTCAAAAAGACTGCCTTAATTTAGAGACTGTTGCTGCATTTTGTTGAAGAAGAATTTGTATATGAAATTAAAAAGTTCTGGACATTGCCAGAACTTTGTTATGTCTAGGAGCTACCTTTTTCAGGTAAGGGAATGAAGAAACTAAAAGAATGTGTTTGTTTGTTTGTTTGCTTGCTTGTTTTTTACCCAAAATGAGTCCAGGGAGCTACTCTGACTTTATTTCCTTAATATTAGCTAAGATCTTTTACTTTGTGGCCAATGGTCTCGTGTATATGGATGCTACACTAAAAGAAAGGAAGCAYTTCATTTATCTAAGCAGCTCTTTACACTCACTATAGCTGAACAACATTAATAGGGACAAAGGCCTTCATACATGTCTTTTTTTCATATATCATTTTTTTTCTTGAAAAATTATTCAACACTACCAATTTATTTTTCTGATGGGGAAGGCTTCTTTAAACCAATATATTTCGCTCCTCAAAACACAGGCACACAGTTAGGATTCCATTCACATGTCATGTATTTTTATTCCTAAAGTAGATATTATACAATGCACACTGTATATACTTTGAAGGCATCACTTTCTTATTATCGAAAGCCTATGTACTGTACATGTGGTTCACATATGCAAWAAGACTGATACATCCCAGAAATCTTGGAAAAACCCTCTATGTGTATTTCTSTGTGTGTGTGAAACATCTGTTTAGCACATATGCAGAAGGTCAGATGCTTCTGGAAGGACAGGCTTTGGTTCATGCACTGCATAGTATGTAAAGACATATTTTTGTTTTGGAAAATGTGGGGGAAACAACTGTCTATCTCATCTATATTCCCTCTAGGAATTTTGAAATATTTCTCCTCTCCTGTAAATTATAATTGGGCTTTCATGGAGAGCACTTTGCCCAAGTCATACAACAATGCCATGGGGGCATTCTGAAATCTCAGTTACCACATCACTAGAGCTTGCGATGAATAAATAATAACAACTAAAAATCATTTAGATTTTTTTAAAAAGGATATCCTCATAGTCACAGTGTGACATACTGTAGAGGAGTCAGGAAAGGTCTGAGTGCTTGTGGCAGACACTGGTGGCTTGGCCTTCTAGTAGCTGCCATTGCTAATGACTGGCAGTGCTGTCAGCTTTMCAGAAAAGCAATAAGCAGACATAGATATTCTCTACATATGCAGGTATGTATGAGAGAGGTCTCAGTATATCTACAGTAGATAAATTTCTTTGTCTTTCTCTTTGGATCAGC